ATGAGTTACGGTAACCCTGGAGTCTTCTTTTGCTTTTATCCCAGGATTTAATGCATCAATGCAAAGAAAATTTTTTTCCCCCATTGCTCCCACTTTACACTTCCGACCGTTCGTCAACGCCGCGCGTTTCTTCAAATGGACTGGGTTACCGTAACCCAGTGTGGTGTTCAAGGGTTAATTTAGATACAATACATATATTTACAGTTTTGTTTTATAATTTTATAAATCAGAACTGATTGTATGTATTAGGAAGTTACAATAAGAAGTTTCAGAACTGAAATTTTGCGTGTTTATAAATTGCATTTAATTGGATTCTAAATCCCAATTTAAGAGGCTTCGATATTTCTCATTATGTTTTTTCTTTTCTTTAATTTATTACACCGCTCCTTATTTTAAATCTATCCTTGTATAGTTACATTGCTCCCTGTACAGTTTGCATTGATCAATGAACGAGAGCTTCCAATTTGAAATTGCACAAGTATTACAAAATATGTCGTCACTGTGCCAATTAGCTGAAAGAAATAATCAAAACTTTAAAAAACTTAATTCATATTAAATTACTTACATCCTAATTATTCTCACCGAATGAAAAAAAGTATTATCGAGCCTAAAGTATCCGTTAGCTGTAAACTGTACTTTGCGATGTAGCAATTGAAGCGAAAATTTCTTGAGCTGTAATATATCTATGATAAATATCATTACGATGAGTACCGTTTCTGAGAAAGTTTTATCTAACTTTGTTTCTTACCTCTGTTTTTGTCTCTTTCCCGATTGCACATTTCAAAAGATCATGCACTATATATTACCCGTTTTCTTCATCTAAAATAAATTTGTAATTGAAATATTTCGTAAAATATTTGGGATTTTATTTACTAATAAAAATATTTTATTTTATCGATTAAAACCGTCTGATTAAAATGTGATCTTATTACATTGATTATCCTACCTCGATTAAAATCCTGGTAATTCTATTGGTTAGGAGAAAGATGGGATAAATCAAAAATATCATCCAGACGATGAGATTAAAAATATAAGAATAATTTAAGTTTAAAATGTCATTAGTCATCAACAGAGGCGAGAATAAATAGTAACTACTATATATGAGTGTTGGAAAGACAAAAATGATGCCGAATAGTACTGGTAGTGAATAGAAACTCGACACATCCTCAGAGATTTCACAGAGATGACAATGCACATCTCGCAGTTGCAACAGTTGATGAACGGTCGAATTGTTGACTATGATACGACGCGTTTGACAGAGAGACTGCAGTCGAAGATCAGGTGTATTGATCCTGGTGAGATTTTGTATCGCTCGATTCACATCAACAAAACCTGTCTGAATAACCGTCACCAACAGAAAGTACTGTATCAGTAGCCAACCCACGAGAAATATCAGCAGACCGATTGTCAACCATGAGAATCGGACTATTTGGATGACCAGGATATCAGTAAACAGGAGAAGTATCAGCAGACAAATCTTCAAGATGCAAACTATGATCATAGTGTAGAAGATACGCTGTCTTCGCAGGAGATAACATAAATCATACAGACGTTGTATCTCGTGCTCGATGGTGATTAAACGATTGGCGATACGCACCAAGGACTTCTGCTTGATGCAGTAGCTAATTAAAATCACGCAGCTCACCAAGGCACCTAGTACACTTTGCAGAACCTCGATGCCTACAGTCAAATTCGTCTTGTCATGGTAGTATTCATTAAGTATGTACGGTATAGACATACAGTACAAAGCTATTATTAAACTAGTCAGCACAACATTGTAAACGATTCCTAATTTGGAACATTGAAATGTATATGACGTTCTCTTTTTGTATATGACGATTCGGTAGGCGAATGTAGCGAGACCAATAAGCTTGAAGAACATTATCAATATTTTGAACGTCCAAAATAAATTGTGATGTAGCTCTGATTTTATTTTGTTCACTTTCTGTTCATTATTTTTTCCCGCAAAAGAATTTTCTTTATTAATATTTCCAAAGAAATTGGAAGTTTTATTGACGTTCATGAAAGTTGAATTCTTAATCGAGAACATTTTTCCAATGATTATCTTTTTCCTTTATTTTTGAATTCTAAATTAATATCTACTTCTTCTCTTCATTAGGTCTTGTCAATTTTTCTATGTTGCCTTATATTTCGTGATTTATAAATATTTTCTTTAGGTAACTTTCAGTTCAATTCTTAATATTATTTTTTTCAAGACACTTGTATATAAAGATTTTTTTAAATTTGTATACTTTAAGTCTTCTTTACTAAAACGTTTCACGCATGTATCATTCATAAATTGATAATTTAAGAGGTGTCCGTTTTATTTTATTGATATCTGTCTTTACAATTGCTCTTAATCCGAATTAAGTACGACCGTTTGTATGTCGTATACAACTAATTGTGTGTCCGGTAAATATTTACGTGTATTCTTATTGACGTTGCGCTTTATAATTCGTTCGAAAAAGCACTGAGCATGGAGCGATGCTTCTGCAAATACCTTTCTAGGAAACATCACGTCTGCAAAACATTATAAAACATTAAATTTATGAAAGTTATAAATGCATGATAAGGAATATAATGTCAATAATTTAACTCTATTTTCAGTCGACACGGATCCTGCGATGGATATAGCCAATTTTCACAGTATTGTTGTTAGAATGATATCAATTGGAATATTTATGAACTATAGGGGTAACTTCGGTATAAGTATATGCTGCGCTGGGATTTACGCCGCGGAAATCAGAAAAAAAATAGAAGGAGGGGGTAATTTTCAGTTATAATTTTTCAGCTTCTTACTGTTAATATTAATAAAATTATTGAGTTGAATCGATTTGTCACTGTGTGTGTAATAAGTAGCACCATCATAAATTATAATCTACATAAAATGATTACAATAGATACAAAATTGTTGCTATAAGACATAACGTGTGATAATGTGTGATCTACAATAACAGTCGTAGACGATCTTGGAATCTTAAGTCGTAGGAAATTGATCAATTAGACTCAAATATGAGTAGAATAATCGACTATAATTGGTTAATTCTTTATGATTTTAGACCCCACACAACCGTCTACAATTCTTATAGTAGAACCGGCCGCATTACATGTTACTTCCCATCCTTGGTTAAAACGATATGAAACATTTACATTGTACTGGAAAATATTGTTGTGTGTACTTTTAAGTATATTTTTACGTAAAGAATGCAAAACCTGCGTATATGATTTACTTAAAATCATACATTAAATATATTCATTAAGCGGAGGTTACACAATATTAATTGTGTATGAAGTAATATTTGGAGCCAAGAGTATTGTATCGTAATGAGATAAATATGAAAGAGAAGGGAAAGCATATCGCAATCTTAGGTGCAGAAATAAACGTGCAAATAATAAAATTCGTGAATATAATGTATAGTAAGAGTAACCTAATAAAACGTGTATGATATATGCACTAATACGTTTCAACGATTATCTTCAATGAGATAATTAGGAGAAATATACTGTCTCTCATGATCTTCGAAGATTACGGTTTCATGCGTATTGCAGCGAAATTCACGAAGGTCGATAGGACGATGTAGTATTAAATGGTTGTGATTAGATAGAAAAAAAGGCGTCTCGAAAATTAGTTTCCGAGATGACAAGGAAAGTAGCTAATGCCTGTCATTATTTCTTTAATCATAATGTGTTTTAAATAAATAATATGCAATTAAAACTGAAAGATTTACTATTTCCCATTACAAAATACATACATCGCAATATGTGTGCCTATACAGGGTGTCTCAGAACAATCGCCAAATATTTCATGTGCTGGTATAGAGAGGACCAAATTGAGTCGGAAAGTCCTCTACCATTTTACAATTTTCACAATAGATAAAAAGATATCAATTACTAAAAATCGCCGAATATTATAGTTTTCAATAGCTTTTTACTTAAGTAAAATTAATATTATTAATTGATTTATTCTATCGAGTCTTATTCAATTTAATTGTTAAATAAATTAACAATATTAACCCTTGAACACCACACTATTTTCGCCACCTGATTTCACTACACATGGGTTATGGTAACTCTGGAGTCTCCTTTTGCTTTTATCCCGAGATATAATGCATCAATGCAAAGAAAGTTTTTTCCCCCCCTTTGCTACCACTCCACACTTCTGACCGTTCATAAACGCCGAGCGTTTTTTTAAACGGACTGGATTACCGTAATCCAGTGTGGTGTTCAAGGGTTAATTTAGATACAAAACATATATTTACAGTTTTGTTTTCTAATTTTACAAATCAGAACTGACTGTATGTATTAGGAAGTTACAATAAGAAGTTTCAGAACTGAAATTTTGCGTGTTTATAAATTGCATTTAATTGGAATTTAAATCCCAATTTAAGAGGTTTCGATATTTCTCATTATGTTTTTTCTTATCTTTAATTTATTACTCCGCTCTTTATTTTAAATTTATCCTTGTACAGTTACATTGCTCTCTGTACAGTTTGCATTGATCGATGAACTCGAGCTTCCCGTTCGAAATTGCACAAGTATTACCAAATATGTTATCACTGTGCCAGTCAACTGAGAGAAATAATCAAAACTATTAATTTAAAAAACTTAATTCATATTAAATTACTTACATTCTAATTATTCTCACCGAATGAAGAAAAGTATTATCGAGCGTAAAGTATCCGTTAGCTGTAAACTGTATTTTGCGATGTAACAATTGAAGCGAAAATTTCTTGAGCTGTAACATATTTATGATAAATATCGTTACGATGAGTATCGTTTCTGAGAAAGTTTTATCTAACTTTGTTTCTTACCTCTGTTTTTGTCTCTTTCCCGATTGCACAGTTTAAAAGATCATGCACTATATTGCCCGTTTTCGTCATCTATACAATAAATATATAATTGAAATATTTCATAAAATATTTAGGATTTTATGTACTGTTAAAAATATTTTGGTTCGTTAATTACAATGATATGATTAAAATGCGATCTTATCATATTCGTTATCCTACCTCGATTAAAATCCGGGTAATTCCATTGCTGAGAACAAAGATTGGATAAATCAGAATTATTATCCGGACCATGACACAAATAATACCATAATAAGAATTTGAGATATCACTCAGCAACAGATACAAGAGAAAATAGTAACCATTACATATGAGCGTCAGAAAGTTAAAAACAACGCCGAATAGTATCGGTAGTGAATAGAAACTCGATACATCCTCAGAGATTTCACAGAGATGACAATGCACATCTCGCAGTTGCAACAGTTGATGAACGGTCGAATTGTTGACTACGATACGACGCGTTTGATAGAGAGGCTGCAGTCGAAGATCAGGTGTATGGAATCTGGTGAGGTTTTGTATCGCTCGATTCACATCAGCGAAATCTGTCTGAATGACCGTCACCAACAGGAAGTACTGTATCAATAGCCAACCCACATGAAATGCCGGCAAAACGTCAGTCAACCATGAGGCTGGGCCCGAACGATAGGCCAGGAACTCCATGAGCAAGAGAAGTATCAGCAGGCAAATCTTCATAATGCAAACGGTGATCATAATGCAGAAGATACGCTGTCGTTGTAGCGGATGATATAGATTATACAGACGATCAATCTCGTGCTCGATTGTGATTAATCGATTGGCGATCCGCACCAAGGACTTCTGGCCAATGCAGTAGCTAATCGAAATTATGCAGATCACCAGGGCACCAAGTACAGTTTGCAGAACATCGATGTATACAGTCAAATTTATATGGTCCTGATAGCTGAAACTAAGTCTGTGCGGTACGGATACATAGGTCGAGGCTATCATTAAACTACCCAGCACAACATTGTAAGCGATTCTTAATTTGCAATATTGAAATGTGCATGACGTTCTCTTTTTGTATATGACGATTCGGTGGGCGAATGTAGCGAGACCGATAAGCTTAAAGAACATTATCAATATTCTGAACGTCCAAAATAAATCGTGATGTAGCTCTGAATTTATTTTATTCACTTTCTGTTCACTATCTTTTTCCGCAATAGAATTTTCTTCATTTATATTTCCGATGTAATTGGAGTTGGGTTTATTGACGTTCATGAAAGTTGAATTCTTAATCGAAGACATTTTTGCAATGACTATTTTCTTCCTTAATTTTTTAATTTTAAGTCAACATCTACTTCTTTTTTTCATAAGGTCTTGTCAATTCATCGGTATTGCCTTGTATTTCATAATTTATAAATATTTTCTTTAGGATACTTTCTGTTCAATCTTCTTAATATTTTTTTCTTCAAGACACATTTGTATATAAAGATTTTTTTTAATTTTTATACTTTATGTCTTCTTTACTAAAACGTTTCACGCATACATCATTTATAAATTGATAATTTTAGAGGCGTTTGTGTTGTTTTTTGATACCTGTCTTTCCAATTGCTCTGAATTCATGTTAATTACTACCGTTTGAACATCGTATACAACTAATTGTGTGTGCGGTAAATATTCACGTGTATTCTCATTGACGTTGCTCTTTATAATTCGTACGAAGTAGCACTGAGCATGTAGCGATATATCCACAAATATCTTTCTCGCAAGCATCACGTATGTAAAACATTATTAAATATTTAATTTGCGAAAATTATAAATGCGTGACAAGGAACATAATGTGAATAATTTAGCTCCGTTTCAGTTGACACGGATCCTGCGATGGAAATAACTGATTTTTACGGTATTATTATTAAAACGATATCAAATGGTATATTTCTCAACTGTATATATGATACACGCGCGCGCGAGTACGCACGCACGCGCACACAAGCGTGCGCGCGCGCACATGATATTCATCCACGATAATACGTTCTTCCTAATTCCTCCAGCTGTAATGCTAGATAACCATAGTAGACTATTGTTATTATTTTTACCTTTCCGGCTACAGCATGATCTGTAAAACCCTGCAATTTTGTCCCGCTGTATCTTTGGACTGAAAACATATTTTTTTAGCTGAAAACGTGTGAAATTTATACCCAAAGGTCAGACAGATCAATATGAATCAAATAAATAATATTTTATTATCAAATAATTACAATGTTTCAGAGAAATTTTATTGGAAAATTCGCAAAAAATGACCACTTTGAATAAAAAATTTTCGAATTTTTTTAGTTTAATGTTCAAGCAAATGCCGTAGGATTTTTTCACTTGACTCTGTGGACTAACAAAAAAAAATAATACGATATGAATCGCTCAAAAGGTATAATTGTTTGAACTATAGAAAATCGACACATTTGAAAAATCTACATATTATTATAGGTTTACAGTTAATAAATAAAATTTTATTATTTAAACAGTAAAAAATGATACATAAAGGATTGTACATGTACAAATATTATTACAGTACACATATAATTAAATTTATTAGGATTTAGTTAAGAGGATGATGCAACATTCGTTCTAAAGCAATACATCCGCCCCGTAAATTTTGTAAAAAACATTTGTTAAATGTATACGATTGATAGTTATACTTGTGTAAGTGATTGTGCTCTTGTCCATTCATACAGATAAATCTGATACCGAGTTACAGCGACGCAGCGACAGAGCATTATACTTGATTGGTCACCAGAAGGCACGAGCACAGTGATAATTCCACTCATTGACAAAAAGGAAGGAAGGAAGAGAAAACCAGTTTCTATTTTGGTCGTACAGGGACACAGCTTCTGTACCTTCTTTGTTATGTAGATCAAACAGAGTGGCGACCATTAAGTAGTAAGTGACAACAATACGATGCCTTACATTTTGATCGTAATTAACAGATGTTCCGGTCGCAACCTAACCACGACTCTACCCCCGACTAACCACGACCCTACCGCCGATATAATCACGATCCTACCACCGACCTAACCACGATACAGCTACCTCCGACTCTACCCGATCTACTACATGTATTATTGCCTAGAGTTGGATTGCCTACAAGCACTTTTCCGCACAAATATAAAATTAAAGTTAAGTTAAATAAGAAAATATTTTGTATTGTGGTTAATATTGACAACAACGGAAGCAGCTCTCTGTTCATAAGAATGAATGTTCATAATGGTACTTTTGAGTATCAAATATGTGCAACAGTACAATTATTTAATATATTATAAGACCGTATATGTGATAACACAAACCATAGAAACCAACGCCTAAACGGTCTAGCTGGATCTAATGCTTGTATAATTCTTATGTGAATTTATATTCTACGCGTGTAGTCCCCAAAAACGCGCGCCAAAATGATATTTCGGTCTTAAAACGCTAACTCTATTAAACTACCGCAGTAATATCACGAGTTAAATTAACTATCGTAATGAGACAAATACGAAAGAGAAGAGAAGGTATCTTGGGTGCGAAAATAAACATTAAAATTATAAATTCGTGAATATAATGTATAGTATAAGAGTAATCTAATAAAACATGTATGATATATGCACTAATGCGTTTCAATGGTTATCTTCAATGAGATAATTAGGAGAAATATACCCTCTCCCAGTGATCTTCGAAGATTACGGTTTTATGCGTATCGCAACGAAGGTGGATAGGCTATACTCGCCGACGTAGTATTAAATGGTTGTCATTAGGTAGAAAAAACTGCGTCTCCGAAATTAATTTCCGAGTTGACGAGGAAAGTAGCTAATGCCTGTCATTATATCTTTAATCATGCTGTGTTACTTTAAACAAATAATGTGCAATTAAAACTGAAATAGTTACTACTGTTCCTCATTACAAAATACATACATCACAAAATGTGTGCCCATACAGGATGTCCCATAATAATCGCCAAATATTTCATGTGCTGATGTAGAGAGGATCAAATTGAGTCAAAAAGTCTTCTACCATTTTGCAATTTTCGTAATATAGTTGATAAGATATTAATTACTAAAAATCGCCGAATATTGGTTTCCAATATTGGTTTCCAATAGTTTTTTACTTAAATAAAATTAATATTGTAACGTTTATAGCTTTATGAAAATGGCTATAATATTATCAAATTTCTTTCACGTCACATTAATCTACAATTGACGACATACGATTTTCTTAGAGGAGAGAAATGAAATTGCGTCAGTTTAAATAAAATATAACGATATCACAGAATTAGTTGATTTGAATAATTACAATGCTTTTATTATCTTCAACGAACAGCTTTTGATTTCTATTTGATTCGCTCGCACAATAATATATACAGTCTATAATCTATCGTGACTAATTTGCTCGTGTCGGATATAAATATGAACCTTCGTTCGTATCATCGATCGTGATATTTCGCAAGACGATAATTTAATAGAAGGATTATTTTCTACGTATCTGTATGGCGTTCTTGAGCTTGCGTGGAGGGAAGAGATGAGCCACGTTAAAACGGCTTTCGCCGTTCGCCCCAAGACACCGAGCAATGTCTTCGCCTTCCTGATTGCGCTGCTTAGCATCCTTCTATGCGTATGGACACATCCTGCTCTGCGGGGTCGTATGTTAGGTCCCAAGTATGAAATCGTCTTAGGCCACCAATGAATGGAATCATCTTCGGCCACCAATGTATGGAGAGTTAATCCTCGAGGTCTTCTATACTTTCTTAAGAACACTCTAATCTATTCGAGCTCTCTGTTTCTTGTCTGCTCTACCGATCTCTACTGATTCCGTTTGTCTCTGAAATTCCCCCTCTTCACGCAATCCCAATGCTCCCCCATCATTAACTTCTTCCTTGTTTCTTATTGGTTATCTACCCTTTTAATACATATATCGTTACAATATTATGAATTGATTTATTCTATCGAGTCTTATTCAATTTAATTGTTAAATATATTAATTAACAATATTAATTTAGATACAATACATATATTTACAGATTCTGTTTTCTAATTTTATAAATCAGAACTTATTGTATGTATTAAAAAGTTACAATGGACTCTCCATTTGATGACACAAGTCGACACAAGCGTCGTTCTATCCTAGTTGACATTCAGAGAATGACACAGATAGAAGAACACTTGTGTCGACTTGTCTCATCAAATGGAAAGTACCCAATAAGAAGTTTTAGAACTGAAATTCTGCGTGTTTATAAACGGCATTTAATTGGATTTTAAATTCCAATTTAAGAAGCTTCGATATTTCTCATTATAAATTTTTCTTATCTTTAATTTATTATTTCGTTTCTTATTTTAAATCTCTCCCTGTTTAGTTACAATGCTGTTTGAATGACGAAAACAAGCTTGCCATTTGAAATTGCACAAATATTACCAAATATGTCACCACTGTGCCAATCAACTGAGAGAAATAATCATAATTATTAATTAAAAAAAATTAATTTATATTAATTTACTTACATGATATTTTAAATATTCTCACCGAATAAAAAAAAGTATTATCGAGCGTGAAGTATCCGTTAGCTGTAAACTGTATTTTGAGTTGCAACAATTGAAGCGAAAATTTCTTGAGCTGTAACATATTTATGATAAATATCGTTATATCGATGCGTATCGTTTCTGAGAAAGTTTTATCTAACTTTGTTTCTTACCTCTGTTTTTGTCTCTTTCCCGATTGCACATTTCAAAAGATCATGCACTATATTGCCCGTCTTCTTCATCTATACAATAAATTTATAATTGAAATATTTCGTAAAATATTTGGGATTTTATGTACTGCTAAAAATATTTTGTTTCATTGATTAAAATGATATGATTAAAATGCGATCTTATTATATTGATTATCCTACCTCGATTAAAATCCTAGTAATTCTATCGGTGAGGAGAAAGATGGGATAAATCACAAATATTATCCAGACGATGCCATCAATAAAATACACATAATCGAAGATCTCAGTCAACAGAGGAAAAAGAATATTATAACCACCACATATGAGTGTCAGGAAGAAATAAACGATACCGTATACTACTGGTAATGAATAGAAACTCGACACATCCTCAGAGATTTCACAGAGATGACAATGCACATCTCGCAGTTGCAACAGTTGATGAAAGGTCGAATTGTAGACTACGATACGACGCGTTTGGTAGAGAGACTGCAGTCGAAGATCAGGTGTATTAATCCTGGTGAGGCTTTGTATTGCTCGATTCACATCAGCGAAATCCGTCTGAATGACTGTCACC